CTTAGGAGCAACATGATAATTATAGTAGACACTAAAGAGGTAAACCTCACAAGAGCTCATTATTTCGAGTCTATGGAAGATATAAAAATAACTTCACTGAATAACAGAACTGATGACGAATATCCCACAATGGACAACAGCTCCAATGTATTAGAGGAAGGAGTTACAATCACATGCCCTGAGGTTGGTGCTGGCCTATCGTTTGTTCATTCAGTGAATATTGAAATATCTTATTTGTCATTTATCAATTGTGCCATAAGTCATAAAACCTCAGCATTTGGTACTTGGTCTTGTAGTAAAACAAAAGAGGATTGCACACCATTGATCTTTCCTAATGCGTCTTCAGCAGTATTTCTTTATAATTGTACTGGGTTTACCCTAAACTACACCTATTTCTCGTCCGGGCGTGGCTCGGGAGTCTCGCTTTACGATGTACTCGGAAACGTAGTAATTGAGAACTCACATTTTGTAAATCATGCCCTCTTACCCCCTGCCATTCCCTGCACCCATATTAAGGATTATTATGATAACTGTAGCGTACAGTCAACCGGGCTTTATATAGAATTCACTTATTGTGAAGAAATGACCTCAACAAGTTGTGGTGACAAATTTCATGTTAGGCATATTAATTATCTGATACGTGACTCTTTGTTTAAAGGTAACAGGAATTTAGGGTCCTATCGGGATTATACTGATATAAGACCATATGCTGGGCTACAAAGAGAACAGCATTGGCCTTTTGGAAAAGGTGGAGGATTAGGTATTGCCTTTCGCTCATACAATTTCAAATACCTCAACTTGACAGTAGAGAGGACTGCTTTCATTGATAACCAAGCTGTTTATGGGTGGGGGTATGTATTTACAGTTTGAGCCAGGTTATTCTGATCATGGGTTTTTTAAGATTTTAGGCTGTGACTTTATTGAAAACCATGGTTTAATAAATGGCGGTGGGTTGGATCTTGATTTTAACGTTCTTTATCACACAATACATCATGATTTGCTACAAAATCAAACTTTTCGTAACCATCTTCGTGTAGGCTATAGCAATTTTAGCTCTAACATTGCTTATTGGGGTGGAGGTGTATCACTGGTCCTTTATCCAACGAATGTCTCATACTTAATTACTGACTTTAACTCTTCAAAGTGGAATAGTAACAAGCACATTGGTGGAGCTGGTGCTGTTGGTATTTTTAAAAAGGAAAGACCAGAAGAGAACCTACTTATTGTCCCAAAAGTTACATTCACTAATTGTATTATTCATGCTACTGAAGCAAACAGGAACTTCTCTATGATACCTTGCAGTCTCTACTCTGAGAGTATCCCCCTTTTATTTTATGGTTTTAACCTTTTCACATCTAACCGTGCCTCTGCACTTTGTTTGAGTGATACTGGAGCGATGTTTTTTAACTTTATTTATTTCTCTCATAACACTGGTTTAAATGGAGGGGCCTTGTTCTTAACTGGAAAGTCCTACATGACTGTTAGCAATAATGTCCATATAGAGTTCAATAATAACTCAGCCAGACTAGGTGGTGCTATATATTACCTTGCTCCTATTCCACTCGAGATGAACACCAGTGGCTCTTGTTTTGTGTGGTACCATCAAGAAGGTAACTTCAACACTCCATCTAAATATTGGAGGGTGAATGTTACATTTTCAGGCAATGTTGCAACACAGGGTGGAGATGCTGTCTTTATTAGCAACCCAAAGAATTGTCAGTGGCCAAATGAGCCCTCTCTTTTTGATCCTAACAGAACTGAAATATTTGATTATTCTAGACAGCCTCAAAACAGTCCTACTCATGTCATATCAACTCCACCACAATCAATGTACATCACTGGTAATGTTGTAGAACAAGAACAATGCTTTACTTCTATGATTGCTAATAGTATTGACAATACTAGTGTAATATTCCATCATTACATGATGCCAGGACACATATTGGGCATAAAAGTACATGCTTTGGACTATTTCAATCAGTCTGTATCAACTGTCCTTAGCATTGAATGTCACAATGCTATAGATTATATCTTCTCTCCTGACATTTGCAATGAGACCTCGTTCAATATTGATGGCAGGCTGGCACAGTCTAATACTTCCATTAATAATATCATAACTGGACCACAGAATGAAGACTTTGTCCTTTTATTTCGCACTTATGATCCAATCTCTATTGTAATCCCTGTACATGTACACCTTACTAACTGCTGCTTTGGTTATAAGTATATAGACAATAATAAGTGTCGTTGTGGTTATGATTTGACTAGTTCCACTGGATCAGTGGGACCTGTGGCTTGTATTGTTAATGCAACGAAGTCACCTGATGTAGACCCTGCATCATCTACTATTCCTTGTGTAAAAAGGCACTACTGGGCTGGGAGTTTACCAATCGAAAACAAATTTTTCTATCAATTTTGCCACACAGGTAAATGCAATTTCTTGGAGAAGCTTAAATGCGGCAAGTATTCTGATTACCAGGTGCTTTTGAATCATTCTTGTATTAATGATCTTTCAGGCCCACTCTGCTCCTCTTGTAACCGCAGCAAAAGTGTTGAGCTCACTTATAATGCATACAGTTGTTCTCCCTGTAGCATTTCTCATCAAATTGGCCTGTTTTGTCTCATTTTTTTGGGTTGTTTTCTCATCGTTATTCTTATCCTGATATTCCTCAGGCTCAATGTGCGAGTAACTACAGCTGTATTCTACAGCTTCTTATACTTTTACAGTGTCCTCCCTGCCTTCCTATGGGCCAAACAACAAGGAACTACTCTAGAGGTGATTATAGCTGTCATAACAAGCATAACATCACTTGACTTCACACTACTGCAGTACACACATTTTTGTTTGTTTAATGGAGTAATGGCTATACACTATGAGTTTCTACACTACGTTTATCCAGTTACTATCGCTTTTCTCATAGCTGTTATCATTAAATGTG